TACTGAATGAGTAAGAGAGGAATGGGAGACATCCCTCAAATAAAAACGAATAAAAGAGCAGGGGGAAGACCAAGATGCTGCAGTGCAAATGTCTTCCACTGTCATTCCTCCGTGCAAAGCCGTAGAGGTTGAAATTCCTCTGATGCTGTGCGCTTTGATGTTTTCCGGGGGATCCTTCCCAGAGGAGACATACGCCTGTGACACAGCCTCACACAACCAGTGTGACAGGCGCTGTGCAGACAGAGGCTGCCCTATTGAGTGCTCTCTGTGATGCACCAACAGGCGCTGGGATCTACGCAACGTGGCTGTGCGTGCAATATAGCATGACAGCGCACGTACGGGACAGAGGAGATGAGATGTGGCTTCTTCCTCTGATGAGTGAGGAGGAGGGAAGAAACCATCCAAAGTTATCACTCTTGATCTAAAAGAGCTTGTGATAACCTTTGGCATAAAAGCCGGGTTAGGGCGCAAAACAGCTGAGCTGCCATCTCCTTGGATCTGGAGGCATGACGGAGCCACAGAGAGAGCAGACAAATCACTCACCCTTTTAGCTGATGTTAGGGCCAAGAGCAGAGCTACTTTGGCTGACAAGAACTTCAGGGGGACCTGATATAAAGGTTCGAATGGAGCTTTACTCAGTGCGCGTAACACCAACGCCAAATCCCATTGAGGCGCCAAAGCGCGTGACACCGGTCTGAGTCTCTGTACTCCCCGTAGAAAGCGTGTTGTCAGAGGGTGACTAAACACCGTACTGACACCAAACCCTACGTGGCAAGATGAGATGGCAGCAGCGTACGTTTTGACCGTGCTATAAGCCAAATTCCTGTCTAGTAAGGTCTGGAGGAACGACAGCACGTGAGGCAGGGGGCACGTAACGGGGTCCAGGCTTTTCCCTACACACCAGCGCTGGAACGCTGCCCATTTGGCTGTGTAGGATGCTCTGGTGGACGCCGCCCTTGAACCCTGAATGGTACTAATAACATTTTTAGAGAGGCCCATCCCCTCTATATGTTCCCGTTCAGGGGCCATGCCCACAAACGTTGGCCCAATACTGGGTGACCGCTGATCGCTCCCTCCACCTGGGAGAGAGCGTCCCTGCGCCACGGAATTTCCCACGGCCTCCCTGACAGCATCCGCTGTAGGCATGGAAACCAGGACGCTCCCGTGCGTTCCGGTGCTATTAAAATCGCTGTCAGTCTCTCCTCCTGCACTCGGTCCAGGAACCGAGGGATCAGAGGGACTGGTGGGAAAGCGTATAACAACACCTTTGGCCACGGCCTGTGTGCGAACGCGTCCACGCCCAGGGGGGGGTGGTCCTGCGTTCTCAGGGAGAACCAGAGGGCACACTGCGCGTTCTCGCGTGCAGCGAACAGATCCACCTCTGCTCTCCCGAACCTGCTCCATACCTGGGAGACCAATTCGGGGTGGAGGCTCCAGTCCCCTTGGCGAGGACCTCCTCTGGACATGAGGTCCGCCCCTCTGTTCAACACGCCGGGAATATACACCGCTCTGATAGAGAGTACGTGTGTTTGCGCCCAGCACAGCAGCCGCCTGGCTGTGTTCAGCAGCTGCGCTGATCGTACGCCTCCCTGGCGATTTATGTATGCCGCCGCTGCTCTGTTGTCTGTCCGAATCAACACATGTTGTTTGAACAGCAACGGGGCGAAGTGCTGGATTACTCTCCATACGGAGATTAACTCCAGCACGTTTATGTGGAGAGACATGTGAGCCGGCCACTGTCCCCCCACTGCCTGCGACATGCACGTTCCTCCCCAGCCTGCGAGAGATGCGTCTGTGAACACCGCTGTGTGTGACGTCACTCTGCCCAGGGGAACCCCCACTGATAGGACGTGGAGATTTTTCCAATAGGCTAAATCCAAACCCACGGAAGGGGGAATGTACACCATGCGTCTCTTCTGCCGCACGGGGTCGATGTGCAGGCGAATAAACCACCTCTGGAGTCTCCTCATGTGAAGGAGTCCCAGAGGGATCACCACGTGACCAGCTGACATCATGCCCAACAGCTGCATCACGGAGAGGGCTGTCACCACCCTGCGAGGTGTGACGCGTCGGAGGAGAGCTGTCACTTTCTCCACTCTCTGCTGTGAGAGTCGCGCTCTCATGAGGGCTGAGTTCAATTCCACTCCCAGATAAATGATAACCTGGGAGGGAAGAGGACAGCTCTTCTTCCAGTTGACAATGAAACCCAGGCTTGACAGATGAGATACGAGCTGTATCGTCTGTAAAGCAGCCTCCTCCTTGGATCGAGCCAGCAACAGCAGGTCGTCCAGATAAAATAACACCCTCATCCCTCCTCTGTGAAGCGGCTCCAGAGCCGTCTCCACACACTTTGAAAAAGTGCGAGGAGCCAGGGAGTATCCGAACGGCAGTCGATTGAACTGGTACGAGATCCCCTGGAAAGAAAAACGCAGGAATTTCCTGTGTTTCGGGATTATGGTTATGTGGAAGTAGGCATCCTTCAGGTCTATTGACGTAAACCAGTCCCCCTGGTGAACGTATTCCAGCACCTGTTTGATTGTCAGCATATGAAAAGGTCTTTTCATTATCACCCTGTTGAATGCTGACAGATCGAGGATGGGTCTCATTCCCCCGGTCTTTTTTGGGATAAGAAAATAACGGGAGTAAAACCCCCGATTTTCTTCTCCTTGAGGAACTCTGGAAATCGCACCTCAGTGTCCTGGGGTTCGCCGCCGCCCCCTCCTGGTACTTCCTAATGGGCGGGAAGCGTGGCCAGATCGGGTCACTCCTGACCCTCTGTGCCTGGGAGAACACCCCGGACATGTCATCCGAAAACGTGCTCTCCTGAGCTGGGGGAACGCGGAGATCTCGCCAGGCGGCTGCCTTAGAGATGATCTCCGGGAGTTCCTGGAGAATTCCGCCAATCGACGGCAGAGCCGTGACGGCGGAGAGAGAGACCACTGCTCCGTCTACCGGACCTACACCGGGACCCCGCTCTGTCTCCTCCGTCCGGAGGAGAGAGAGGATGGGGGAACCACCTGGTGATCCATGAATGGAGGGGGCGTAGTCGTCCGACTCGTGCCCTCCACTCGGATCCAAGAAGTCCAGGGCCTCGTCCACAGAGTAAACCTCTGGGACTGCCCAATCATCCTCGACCGCAGCAGCAGCGAGAGCGTCCGCTCTCTGCTGTCTGAGGGCCAGAGGGAGCCGGACACATAATGAGCATGACACCTGTGGGGAAAGAGCAGCTTTCGCATGCTCTAACCCCAAGCAGGACTCACACTGTGAGTGTTTGTCAAAACTCATCATGTAGCCCGTCTCACATGAAAGGCAGTTCCGGACGCAGCCCTGACTTACCTTGCTCATCTCCATCTTTCCACTAGAAACAAAGCTTCGTAAGGGAGGAATCTTTGTTTTCTAATGTGCCTGCTACAGTGCTTCTGCTACTACGTGCTGAAGAAAAGTGGGAGCAGATTGACGGGCATACTTCCTATTTATACGGAAGTAGGTGGGGCCCACGTCATAGGTGGGCGTGGATTAAGTCTGTCAGTGCTGCGCATGCGCAGTGGGATTACCCAATAGCAATAGCCTTAGAGGGCGAAGCCTTATACGAAATAGAACTAGTAGACCCGTCTTTGGGACAAATGTGTCAGTCAGTACAGAATAAATACATTAGCAATCGGATGAGTATAAAAACAAAATCATTTGTTAGATTTTTCACAACTAAAGGTGAGTGACTTGTTAGGATACAATACAAAAATGTCAATGTTATTGGGTGTGATTTCAGTAATAAACAGCAAGTCATGGGGTTGTCTATGTACTGTAGTTGTATTTGACTGTGCATGGTTACCAGATCTTTGTCACATCAAGTGTTTTTGGTTCATCAAACAGTTTTATGAATGACTAAAGGCACATTTTATTTCCTTTTTTATAAGAATCGAATTATTAAAAAAAAAAGTAGTGCTAAATTATAAAGTTGATTCAGACAGCATTTTGTAGATTGATTCAACAACACAAAACAATATTACCAAAATAATAATGAAAATCTACCTACATTAATGTCTTCACTTGATTCAAATAACTATAATAGCTTTTGTTGTTTTAGCCTATGCATGTTCTTTTCATTTTTGAAACGTTTTTGTTTTATGTCGCTTTTGTTAATTCACATAAAGATAAAAGCGAAAAAGGTTTCTAGCAGCAGAAGTTTTGGCACTTTCTGTCCTTCTATGCTTGCCGTAGTTGTATTGTAGCCGTGTTTACTCTTCTACAAACATGTTATTTCATTGTAACCAAATAATTTCACTAAAATACTGCTTGTACGATGTCTTGCAAAACAACATGTTTTTGCTACAGGACGCGCATGCAGTTTGCTGGGAAGCACATGCTTAATATTAATAGCTCCGACACTGAACTTACTGCTCGATAGATAATTGTTAGCTCACAGCTAACAAATCCAGCTGCCACAGAGCCAATGAGCAACAGCTCAACGCCCACAACATGAACACAACTCTGAGTGTAAGTGATTATCGTTAAGCTATAAATTCATGACAGCTGTCTGTGATAGTTACAACTTACTCTACTATTAAATATTTACCAGTGGTGCAAAGTGACTGAGTAGATTTACTCAAGTTCTGTACTTCAGTACAATGTTGAGGTTCTTGTACTTTACTTAAGTATTTAAATGATTTGCAAATCTTTGTTTCTACCCCACTACAATTCAGAGTCAAATCTTGTACTTTTACTTCACTAGATTAATTTAATACATTTAGTTACTTTGCAGATTTGGATTGATTTCGTGAAATATAATCAACACTTAAATAACACTTTATTTATACATGGAGTAACATTCACAAGCTACTCTGCAGTATAACAAGTAATTCAAACTAGCTCCACCGCAGCTTTGATAACAATTTAATGCATCAATAATTATAATCAAAACATATAAATTACATTATTCTGAAATGGGCCAATCTGTTTAATGAGTACTTTTACTTGCTGTACTTTAAGTTTATTTTGATGCTAATAGTTTTGTACTTTTACTGAAATTATATTTTAAATGCAGGACTTTTACTTGTAACAGAGTATTCCTACACCCTGGTACTTCTACTTAAGTATAAGATCTAAATACTTTCCCCACCTCTGTTATTTACACCATACGGTGCACAAGGTGTGTATAGCAGCAGAGCTGAGTGCACTGTCGCCTCACATCTCTGATGAGTATGGGTCTGCTGTCTCACTTTATTGCAGCTGTGCTCCTTCTGCTCTTTGCCTTTTTATGTGTTTACATCAACCACTTGTCTATTCATCAGACCAGACTGGTTAGATCAGTTTCTGCTCAGCACACTGAAGCACATACAGTACTTGGTTATTATTATCCAGCAAAACCACAGAACAAGTCAGTAGAAACAAGGACTGTTATATCCAGAGCTGATAAATGCACCCTGGCCCCAGAGAGTCGGTTTGACTGTGCCAGGGACAGGCTGCTCACCCAGAGAGAGTGTGGAGAGAGGGGCTGCTGCTATGCCCCCCTGCCTCACTCTGCAGGACCACCTTGGTGCTTCTACCCCAGTTTGTACCCTGGCTACAAAATGGGTCCTCTCACCCCCACCACACGAGGACTGGAGGCCACCCTGACTCGTGCCACCCCTTCATATCTCCCCAAAGACATTGCCACTCTACACCTAGAAGTGACAGAGGAGGCTGCAGGCTGCTTACACCTCACTGTGAGTACCCAATGTCCATGTAAAACATAAGATGATGGACATGCTGCAGTGCCCACTAGGGTTGATTTACATCTTAAGTATAGATGACTGTAGGCTAATGTAGTTTGAGTTTAAAAAGGCAACATGGAAAGGGATTTTACTTTTCATTTGCATTATACATATTGTTATGATTTAACAGAGTTGATTTTCCATGAAATGTCTCACCAAAACCCTTAAAAATTCAGATATCAAAAAATAGGTATGGTTGTTACATTTTGTATCTGTTTACATTTGCTCACATTGTCTAAAAAGTCTGGAAAAGAAAGCGAAATGGACTCTGTACCACCCGGACTTCTCTAGTATTATGTAGTGCATTCATTTGTGAGTAATTTGTTGTAGACAAATAAGGTCTAAAGATCTGATTGTGAACTATTTTTTATATAGTATTTTATATATACTTTTTGTATTCTTTGTTTTTGAATTGCGTTGTTTAAAAAGCACTCTGAATCTGGCTTACATGAATAGGTTTTGTGTTGTATGCCAAGATAGGCTTGTTATAAAGGGTGAGTCCATAATAACCTTTATTTATTTATTAAGGGATTAGACCCTCTACAATTCTGCCTTGGAAAAAACTGAAATTATTATTTGTTTTCTCTCAAGTTTAAGGACCCATCATCTCAGCGATATGAGGTTAAGCTCCCAGCTGGTGTTCCTCAGAGCCCAGCTGATACCCAGGATGTTCTCTATACCACTGAATACCAGGCGGAGCCATTTGGCTTCATAGTGCGCCGGAAATCTAATGGAAGGGTGATGTGAGTATCTCTGTTCTGTTTTAATATTTTTTAGCTGCCGTCATAGAAACCGTCTATAAAGCCTTACTCATCATTAATATAAAGATCCTACTTACTCACACTTAGTCATATTATAGCTTTTCCCACCATTATAGTCATATTTTCTACATGTAGTGTGATCACTTCCTTATACATTTCAGTAAATATCGTTTTTTTTATTTTACATTATTTAAGTATATTTATCTAAGTCTGTGTTTTCTATCATTTGTAAGAAAGGAACATAGTGCACTTTCATTAGTGTGTTGCGCCCTTTGTTGTACTTTGCCGGTGTTGAACTATATATGAACTATCTACATTTGTTTCCATTAGATTGTAAAGATATACCTAATAGTGACCAGAGAGAGTATTCATTTCCACTATTTATATTGAGAGCCTGGGTCACAGAGGGTTCTTTTATCTCATGTAGTCTTATCACTAATGGGTAACACAACTGCACAAAATGAGCAGCGAGGTGTTTTCCCTAATCAAGATTTTCATGTAGTGCATGTGTGTTTGTTCTCTGTGTCCCGCCTGTCCAGCATGAATACCACGGTGGCTCCTCTGCTGTTTGCTGACCAGTACCTGCAGCTGTCCACCACGCTGGCCTCTTCCCTTGTGTCCGGCCTCGGGGAGCATTACACCCCCCTCCTCCTGGACCTGAACTGGACCTCTGTCACTCTCTGGAACAGAGACATGGTGCCCCACGTGAGTCTTTTGCAGTGGTTCAAAACACAAGTCTATAGGGTCAAGAGAAGAAAAAGCAACTTCTGAAACAGGAAAATAATATATTTCTTCTTTGTTTATTTTTCTCTAATGATGGTGAAATGGAAAGTTTACCCTCTTCCAGCACAAATATAATCGGCCCCTTTATAATTAATAATACATTGTAATATCTCTAAATATTTGGAATTTTTGAAAATCAAGCTGTCCTTGTAGAGCAGGGGTGTCCAAACTACGGCCCGGGGGCCAAATGTGGCCCGCGGACCATTTTCAATTGGCCCTCAGCAAATTAAAAAAGTATAATAGAATATGGCCCACAAATGAAACTTGTGCTTGTCTAATATTGTACTTCTGAAATATAAATGTAAAAATATATTACACAGTAGTATTCATGTGATAATAAGACCACTTTTCAAATAAATTCAGTAAATTAAAGTTGGAAACATTTTCTAACATATCTAAGTTGATAAGAAAAAAGCCCAATGACTTATTTACATAACAAGCTTCAACACCCTTCTTATTTCTCCTTATTATAATCAATCTGAGGCTTCTGTTTTAAGTGATGAGCTGCCAACACTTACAACACTACGCATAATTTACCTACATTTGATTGATTTTGCTAACTTATAACTGAACTTATGAGGCAATATACCTCTAGTGAGTGGCCCGCCCTCGGTGAAAAAAGTTTGGACACCCCTGTTGTAGAGGGTCAAGCTTTTGTCATTTACTCCCTCTTTGTCTGTTGTGTGATCAAGTTGTTAATGTTGACACTTGTCTTTCTCTACAGGCTGATGCTAACCTCTATGGCTCCCACCCATTCTACATAGTCCAGGAGGAGGATGGCTTGGCACATGGAGCTTTCCTTCTCAACAGCAATGCAATCGGTACCTATCTGAATGTTCATGTTCCATGGCCACTTTTTGGTCCATACCAAACAATTCAGGAATAATAATTATTGCTGAATATCCAAATGTCTCTGCAGAGGTGATGTTGCAGCCGACCCCCGCTCTCACCTGGGTGGCTATCGGTGGAGTCCTGGACCTGTACATTTTTGTGGGTCCTGATCCTCAAAGTGTTATACGACAGTACCTTCAGGTCATTGGTACGTCTTTACAGTGTTCACATTCAGAAACACATCTTCAGGTGGCAAAAATAGGTGTATACACACACCAGCAAGATATATGTGTAGATGTAGGCAACTTAATGTGTTTACCTGTCACCATGTATCTATCACCAGGCTATCCTATGATGCCTCCTTATTGGTCGTTGGGCTTTCATCTGTGTCGCTGGGGTTACACGACATCTAATACAACCCGGCATGTTGCACAACGCATGCACAATGCAAAATTTCCCATGGTAAAGTACTCGTAAATCCTTCTTAAATGAGAGTAATTATTACAGCTGTGCATTTACAGTATGATGTTCACATTATTATTATCACTGAATTAATCAGTCCAACTGCTGTAACGTCTTCAGATACTGACAATACTGACTTCCAATTGAGATTATTTTGCTTTTTTTTTCACCAGGATGTGCAGTGGAATGATCTGGACTATGCAAATAAACGCAGGGTTTTCACATTTGACCCGTGGCGATTTGGAGACCTCCCACAGATGGTTGACGAGTTCCATAAGATTGGCATGAAATACATCCTTATCCTGGTGTGACATATTTAAATTTAAATAACTCACCAACTATTAATGCTGATTTAACTATGAATCAATACTTTAGCACATGCATCAGTTATTTTGATTGTTTTTGGTATAGTGAAAATCTCGATATACGCACAAGTAATCATTACTGATTACAGTTATTTTTCAGTAGATGGTAGCAAAACGTTCTTAACTTGTCAGTCATGCGTTTGTTTCCGTCTCAGGACCCTGGGATCAGCAGCAGCAGCCCCCCTGGCACTTACCCACCGTTTGATGATGGGCTGAAACGAGACGTCTTCATTAAAAATTCTACAGGACAAATCCTGATAGGGAAGGTTAGACTTTTTTCTGGGGATGTATGGTTTTTCTGTCCCATTTTGATGTGTGTATGTCATGCAGATGTATGTATTGTGTATCTAGGTTTGGCCAGGCCCCACAGCCTTCCCCGACTTCACCAACCCAGAGACCGGACGCTGGTGGGAGGACTGCATCAGAGATTTTCATTCTAAAGTTCCTGTGGATGGTCTATGGATTGTGAGTATTTAAAGGGGCCCTAGTATGATTGTTGGGGTTTCCCTTTCCTGTAGTGTGTTATATAGGTTTGTGTGCGTGTAAATAGTCTGCAAAGGCTAAAATCCCAAAGTTCATGCCAGAGGGAGTTTCTCAACATGTCACAGTAGAGGCACAAAGTATGAATATATACTAGTATAGTAGTATAATATGTCCTCTTTAAACAAAACAGTGCACCGTTTATTTTGCCACAGATACTATCACTTAGACATCAGTTATATCAGGTTTTCTGTTCAGAGGCATCTTGTGGATTGGTTTGTGTGCACCTTAAAATCACATAAAGAAAATAACTTGTATTTCCCCTGTGCTCCGCCCAGGATATGAATGAACCATCCAATTTTGTGCAGGGCTCAGTGGAGGGCTGTCCTGACAGTGACCTTGAGAACCCGCCCTACACACCCAGTAAGTGTATTGGATCAGTGTTACTAGCAGGAAATTAATACAGACTTTATACATTTACATTTAATAATAATAATAATTCATTACATTTTTATTTAGAGCACTTTTCAAGGCATTTGTAGTCAGTTTATACATTGAAGTAGATGTGTAGATATTGTACAAGACACCATCCAAATAACTATAAATGCATAACTGATGGCAGAATATGTTGCATTCATTGTGTGTCTCCCTGACTTTTATACAAACAGGGGTTGTTGGAGGCCAGTTGAACTCGAGAACTATTTGTCTGTCGGCCCAGCAGAAGCTGTCCTCTCACTACAACCTGCACAATATGTACGGACTGACGGAGGCCTCTGCCACTCACAGGTGAGACCATGCAGTGGTGCTGATGCATTTTGACGAGCTAGTTTTGCAGGGAAAGGACAAGGGGACAGAGTCACTGTAACATCACCCATTAGATTGTTGACTACAGTTTCTGAAGCCTCCACCTATCCATGTGGCCGTCTCCATCGTAGTCTTTGAAACCATTATCGACACAAGAGGATGAAGCTGAACATTAATTTGTTAAGTCATATTTAACTCTCAATAGCTAAAAACACACTGACAGGCTAAAGGTTATAGGACAAAACAACACAAGAACCTTGAGGTAATGGATTTTCAATCACACATTTGCCATCCTCTTTATAATCTAATTACCTCTCATTTACTAAATGTACAACAGTATGAAGTATGTTAATCTTGTATCAGTGTGAAACTAGCTTTTTAAGATTTTTAACTGGTGTTTAATATGTTTCCTGGGGTAATAATTCAAGTGGGTAATTTCATCTCATTGACTTCTTTTTGCAAAGAGAGGCGTTGCCCCCTGCTGGCTATTTAAAGAAATGCAGGTTTAGGGCACAAAACCAATTTTTCCACTTTGTTATTTCTCTTTGAGTTACACAGTACGGGAATAGCAGCAAAAAGGGTAATAATGGCCATTTTATGGAAGACATCTGCTCTAAAAGGACAGTGTTGACACATTTAACAAAAAAGGTAATATCTTGACAAATTGAAAAGATCGTTATTCATGTTTTATCTTTTAGTAGAGCTAAAGCTATAGCTCATTCAAATTCAAACTGCACTTGCATGGTCGCCAGAGTATTTGTTTAGCTTGTTTAAAATGAATAGAAAGACAGCCTTTCTTTGAGAACATGCATATAACAATTGAAAGACATATATTGGAGGTCACCAAAGAATATTTAGGCCATGTCTTTTGTTTTTGGTTCTGTATTCATCCCGGTAATGGTTGCCATCTGCAGCGCTCTCATGAAGGTACGAGGAAAGAGACCCTTCGTCCTGTCTCGCTCCTCCTTCCCTGGCATCGGACGCTTCTCTGGAGTGTGGACAGGAGACGTCCGGAGTGACTGGGAGCAGCTCCGATACTCCATCCCTGGTGAGGACATGTAGCTTTTGAAAAGTCATTCAATTGTGTTGTTACACTGTCACTGATGTAAGCATGCATGTGATTATTTAGTGGGATTTAGGCTGTATGGGGGATCTGTATTTTGTAGACATTATTTTTAAATCTTTTTTGATGGGGGGCGTGTGGCGCAGTGGATAGAGCCTTGGTGTTGGGATCAGGGGGTCACAGGTTCAAACCCCACTGCAGTCAGCATGTCGTTGTGTCCCTGAGACACTTCACCCCAAATTGCTCCTGTGGGGAATGTCCACAGTATTGAGTATGTAAATCGCTTTGGATAAAAGCGTCTAACAAGTAACATGTAATAATAATGTAGTCACGGATTAATTGTTTTTGATTGACCTTTTGAACCTATTCCCCCTCTAGCTGTGCTGCACTTCGGCCTGTTCGGGGTTCCCCTCGTGGGGGCGGACATCTGTGGTTTTGGCGGGAACACCACTGAGGAATTGTGTGTACGCTGGATGCAGCTCGGGGCCTTCTACCCATTTATGAGGAACCACAATGACAAGCCAAACGCTGTGAGACAGAGACACTGCTTTTGTTCGCAGTCTATGTTTATATCTGTTTGTTAACTGGTGTGCTTCATTAATGCATTTTTTTATTTATAGAGAGCTTTTTCTGGAAACAGGACAATTCATAAAAACACCATCAAATCATTAAGTTAACTTTAGTGTACTTTGTTTATGTTAAATGTTTTTAAAGATGTCAGGGTTTGCCTTGAATGTGTTTGCACTGTGTCTAGAGCAGTCCATCAGTTTCATGTATTATGAATAGATGTAACTCTATATCTTCTCATTGTCTGTGTGTTTCTATGTGTCCCCCAGCCTCAGGAGCCCTATGTGTTTGGGCAGAAGGCCCAGGCAGCCATGCGGAGTGCATTGAACCTTCGTTACTCCCTTCTACCTTTCCTCTACACACTCTTCCATCATGCACACACCTCTGCTGACACTGTAGCCAGGCCACTCTTCGTGGAGTATGTGTCTTCTCCTCTGGATTCCCTATTGTCAACATAAGACAACATGGTTTAGTTTCTATAACATTATCTTTCTCTTTCTTCCTTGTCTACCTCCTTAGGTTTCCCACTGACCCTAACTGTCAGACCATAGACCGACAGTTCCTGTGGGGGAGTTCCCTTCTCATCAGCCCAGTCTTAGAGCGGGGGGCAGAAGAGCTGGCTGCTTACCTGCCCCCTGCCACTTGGTACAGCCTGCACAATGTGAGCTCAACTTCAATACATGTTTTGTTTGTGTACTGTCAAAGACCATGTTTGAGGTTTTCTGTAGTAACACATGACTTAAGTGTTTGCCTTTTTCCTTTCTCGATCGGGTCATTTATTTATTATTTATGGTTTATTTGATAGGAACAGAGACAGACTTTAAACAGGTATCCGATAACATAGTGTTCATAGAGACTGCTAGTTTGCAACCGTAGAAGGCTTTTTATAAAACTAAAGGATTAGAACAGTGAGGTAAAAAGCAGATTAAAATAAATAATGAGATACTTTCAGCACACTTGAAGAACCTTGCATTTAAAATGACAATTTAAACTTATTTTAAAATTATTTTACATGGTATGATTTAACAAAACAGTTCTCATTAATATATCCAAGATCTTCCTTATTGTTAGTGTCCTGGTTCATTTTGTGAAAGGAAAGTAACGGTATAATGTTATATTAAATAAAGAAGCGATTATAAAACGTATGGTTTTAGTGTTGTACTACCCTGTCTTTTGCAAGTGTCCTCAGTATTTCAAGCTTTAATTGTATGTGTGTGTTGTGCCCTCTAGGGTCAGCCTTTCTACAGTAAGGGCCAGTACCTGCTCCTGGCAGCCCCCCTGGACACCATCAACGTCCATGTGAGGGAAGGACATATAATCCCCCAGCAGGTGGGTGCCAACATGCAGCTTATTACACATTTTGTGGATGAATTGTTAATAAACCAAGTGGGAAAAAATGAAAACGGATTAAACAAGAGCTTGAATTCCTGTTCATAATTGGCCTTCTCTTTAGCAGAATACAGTTTGAGGCTTATGTAACATAAAATTAGATAATTTAATCATTGAACATTTTCATTTTTGTAAAGACAATTGTGAACCCTGTATTCAAACAAGTCACCTTAGACTTTAGGCTGTGACATGGCGCCTATGATCAAATGGCAACTATAACTGTCATGTGTTCTGACTGACTTCCTAAAGCTGAAAACTAGCTGAAACACTTTGGAGAGAAGAGCACATTTTGTTTGTTTGTACTAGCTTTCTTGTTTTCTTTGCTCTGCCTTTTGTTGTGAAGGAGCCTGCTTTGACAACGGCAGCCTCTCGCAGAAACCCTTTCTTCCTGACGGTGGCGCTATCAGCAGGAGGCTGGGCCCAGGGAGACTTGTTCTGGGATGACGGGGACAGTCTCGACACCTTTGAAACGGGAAATTATTGTTACGTTATCTTCATGGCTGGACAGGTAGGAAAGGAACGAGTGGTATTTGCATTGGGAAAGCTGATGAGCAAATAGTTTGCATTTTACTGCACCACTACTTGACACAAAATTGTCTTTACTGAAGGGACTCAACTCAATTCTTGACATTACTTTGATCTAATATACTTAGACTAAAACTAAAAAATAATGTCCTTAAAGGTGGGGTAGGTAAGTTTGAGAAACCGGCTCGAGATACACTTTTTGTTATATTCCATGGAACGCTCTTAACATCCCGATAGCAATGAATATCTTAAGTGCTTTGACAATGAATCCATAAAAAAATTTCATCTGTGGAAGCCGTAGTACTGTAAAAAGCACGACCAATCATTTTAGCCAGCCCGGCTAAAATAACTGGATGGCCTACCTGCCTGTCAGCCTTCCATCTGTGCACAAACTTATCTCGTGCCCTCATTGGTCATGTGCGCGTTCGTGTGTGTTGGAGGAGGGGCTCTGTAAGGAAGTGGCAGATTTTCTCCGGTTGTGTATTTTCAAATTCTAGCGATCTCGAGCCGGTTTCTCAAACTTACCTACCCTACCTTTAATGTCTTCAGTGTCAGGTGGTGAGTGATCCCCTCAGGCTTAATGGGGCTCTGGATGGTCTGGTTCTTGGAGGGCTGCAGGTTTTCGGGGTTCCCTCCCCACCCCTATACGTGTTAGCCAATGGGGAACAAGTCAGGGATTTCATGTACCGCAGTGACACCAAGGTAAATTATCTGTGACTCCTCCCAATTGACTCATTATGCCTATTGCCTAATGTCTTTTTACCAAATAAAGCTATGTTTTTTCTTTCACTTCCCACAGGTTCTAACAGTGACCAACCTGGCCTTGTCCATGTCAAAGGTGTTTACAGTCCAATGGGCTCTCTGATGCACTGAACTCTATTACCCAAGAACCATAGGGAGCCTTGGCATTGTTCATTGTTGCTGAAAGATCAGCTGCATTTTTTTGCATTGTCCCAACCATCCCAGACCCGGCGATGCACCTTACGCTATGCTACCTCTTTATCCAAGAACTGCTTTGTAAGGAGCAGTTACAGACAAAATGTGACGACATCAATCAAAGGGAGCTATCATTTTGACATTTCATGTTTTCTTCCAAGCCTAAATTTGCTGCTGATAATTTTATGTATTTGTAATATTATGTATATATATTTTTTAATTCTTTAAAAATATATGCCTGCATATACCTGTATTTTTTACATCAGTTTTGTAAACCTTTGTTACTAATAATGCAGATACATAAAAATGAGTCAAGGTGAATTTGAATTTCCCACATCACAAGTTAAAGATGTGATTGATGGATTGTTTTTATCTGTTAATTTATGGCAAACATTTTCTTCAATGTATGCTGTTAGATCATACCCTGCAAGCACATCAAAACCAGCCTGTTTGTGTTCTTTTTCAGAGGACTTTGTAGCCAGAGCTCTGGTAGAGCAGATGATGAGCATGGAGCCCCAAAGGAGGCCTTCAGCTGAGAGCGTTCTCAAACACCCTTTCTTCTGGAGCCTGGAGAAGGACCTGCAGTTTATATATTTTCCTCTGCTTACTGTAAAAAACACTTAAAGGCTGATTAATGTGGGTACTTTGCTACTACAAACTAATCTGTACACACACTCCCTCTCAGGTTACTTTGTATTTGTGTAAATCCTCATTTCTGTTGTGCTGGTTGGGATTCATCATTGTTAAACTTCTTCATACCTAAAGGCAACGTACATGCTGGCTATTTCAATATCATTTGGACAGTAATCTTAGGTTGTCTCTATTCTTCACGTATTTACCTCACATATTAGAATGGTTGGAATTCCTCTAAAGCCACGTCTGAACCTGTGGAACTTAATTTATATGCTATATCATAGATTTGAGGTCTTTATACAGAATAAGAATGTCTGGCATGCTGACACTTTTTTTGTTGTGGTTGCTTGCAGGATGTGAGCGACAGAATAGAAAAGGAACCGCTGGACGGGCCAATCGTGAGACAGCTGGAGAGAGGAGGGAGGGCTGTTGTCAAGGGTGACTGGAGAGAGCACATCACAGTGCCACTGCAGACAGGTATGAAACTGGCTGAAATGTAAACATGTCAAATTCAAGCTCCTGGTACCCCCCTTTTTAAAATAATGTTTGATATGTTGCTTAAATGTAGGGTTTCGGTTGAGCGCATATGAAGTATTTCAGATTAAAGCTAGTTTTGCATTGACATGGTATACTTTCAGAGTGGCAGTGAATGCAATATCCTGTCACCAGAAAATGTTGCATTGCTCGCTAAACTGAGCTTGCTACTTCCTGTCAGAATCGTCACCTGCTGAAAACCACAACCTCAACTGGTTCTCTTTGGACTTTGCACTCAGTTTATTTGAAAAATGGCACTGATAGTCATGAAATGAGCGGGCATTTTTTGATCAAAATACAGAGTAATGTGAGGTCATAATATATTAAATTCCATCTTATAACAACAGAAGATCAAATTATACTCTTGTTTTTCTATATTTACAAGCAACTACCTTTTAATATGGAATTGTTTTATACTTGGCCAACCTTTTTTTGACTGTTATACAACCCTTAAAGTCTTTCACTTGAAGTAATTCAGACACCAGGGGCCAGATCAGTTTGGCTAATTCAGGATAAAGTAAGAAGACAGTTGTATCATCTCACTGTTTATCGATTCCTTGTTGAATGATTTTCCTTTTGTCTATCTCTTCCTTTGGCAGATCTGCGGAAATTTCGCTCCTATAAGGGAGGCTCGGTCAGAGACCTGATGCGTGCAATGAGAAACAAGGTAGGAATGTGTTGATGTGTTTTCTACTCGGGTCTTACAGTACAAATCTGTTTCTAACACTTGACCTTCTTCCTTCTTCAGAAACATCATTACCGGGAGTTGCCTGCTGAGGTTCAGGAGACGCTGGGCTCCATCCCTGATGACTTTGTCTCCTACTTCACCTCCCGCTTCCCCCACCTGCTAATGCACACATACCTGGCCATGCGGACCTGTGCGTCTGAGAGGCCATTCCTGCCTTACTACTCCACTGCAGATCAGCTTGCAAAAACACAGACCCTGCACACACACCTCGGGCCCCAAAGACAAAAAGAGCCATGTACTCAGCCCTTGACTACACACACATCTCCCCCCTCTTCACAACCACAGGAACCTACACATTCGTCACAGCCAGCGCAGGTCCCTCACACAGATCCTGCTGAATCAGCGCCCTCTTCTTTACCCGATGAGCCTGTAGCTTCACATTTGCCAGTTGAGACAGTGGAGCCAGCTCTGTCCACACAGACTGACCTGCAGAGTCCAACCGTGAACCCCACACCTGCCTCAGAATCACCAACAGATCCTCTCGTGCTAGAACAATCCATTCAGTCTGAGGTGCACGCCCTGCCAGGTCCTTTGATACTGGGTAATGAATCAGTGTGAGGTGGAGCCAGCACAAACAGGAGCATTGCCTTCAAGAGTGATCACCAAGTTGGGCTCAGCTGCTGCAGTATGAGCTGGTGAGGACCAGGCCTGCAGTGCCTGCGATCCACCGCTGGGTGCAGCAGCTGTTCCCTTAATAAGTGCCTTCTGCTCACCTGGGTTAAAATGTCGCCCAACAGAACCGTCCACTTGTTGTTGTTGTTCCTGCTTCGAGGAAGTCAGATAAGAATCAGGGTGATGCAGGACCTTATATTGTAGCAGGACTGAGCAAAGAGATATTTTTTATTTTCTATCAGCATGTCCAAAAAATGGTGTTTGTCCCTAAAAATATCTGGCCTCTATTGTGGGAAACATGTCTGGATGTTGTTGGATAGTTTTATAGTGCAATGTCGTATTTCTGAGTGAGCCTCTTCACTGCACAGATACTGTATGTATATTTTTGTATAGACGGTTCAGAATTTGGATGATGATGATAATGAATTATGTAATGTGGCCGATGTGCCTTTTTTTTCTTTTTTTAAATATCACTGTGCTGTGTACAGATCTTAAAAAATGACTATGCTAAGTGTGCTTGATTCCAGTTAATGCTGCTAGACTGCTTCTCTTTTGTCAATCAAGAATTAATGTGCTGACTCAACAGAGGCCTGCTCCAAATGGTGTTCAGGGTGGCACCTGAATACAGTGGTTAATGAGATTATGTAGTCATAAAAGAGTTTAGCTGTCAGGCAGCAGAGCTCGCTTAAAATAACTTTTCAAGGTTTTTAAAGTGAAGTTAATAACTTGCACATTAAAACGTTTTTTTTATTCTAAGATTTGTTTGTGGATTAATGTTACTGCAAGTCAAGCGGGGGATTGGGAAATGTGGGATAATTAACTACAGTTGGTTCCTAAAAACAACTACTTATATTCAACAGATGTTTTTATTTACAGGTGCCCTGAGCAGCTGATGGTGTATTTACTGAATTGTCTGAGTGAGCTGTTGCTACAGTTAACATTGTTGGAGAAACCTATAGTGTAAGCTTTCTCTCCATCTGTTTATCGAACGGCCAAACCACGGCAGGAATTTTAATGCAAAGTGCAAACAAATAAAAAAGGTCACTGGCAGAAAGGATTGGCATCGAACAAAGGGCAGTACAGAGCCAGTGTGTGAAGCACTGCTCTCTTCAAGTCACTCACAAACATACATATTTATAATTATAAAACCAGCCTCCCATATAATGCAACCCAATGAAAAAGAATACTAGCAAACATTGGAAAGTTGCTTTTTTACAATAGGTAATAACAAACTCACAATATACCAAGGTTAATGCTGGGGTGTGCCTCAACCATAGACTATATATAAAGCCTCAACATAGTTGGTTATGTAACAAGGTTATACGTGGCAGTGCTCACGTGACGTCAAACGGGTGATCCAGCCTTCTTTTTCATCTGATTTGGATGTATTAATTGGCTTGTACATAACTCTCAAAATTTGCTGAACAATTCTTACCACTTTCATAGAACTACATTTAACTTTTCGAACAAAGGTTGACCAATTTAAAATAAGTAGCCTACTGCTTTAAAAGGAATGGTATTAGCTTATAGTCATTTGGAAATGAGCTCCCCCTTTATTCCCCTCATTAAGAAGTGCAAAAGAACATGTTAGGTCAACTTTTTAATATACTATATCAACATTATGGGGTGTTAGTGGTTCTTGAACCCCGAGAGCAGGAGCGACTGAAAAGAGTCAAGGCAAGCTTATAAAAGTTAACAGCATTTAATTACACAAAAGATGCGGTGGGATACAAATGAAATGTGCACGTTGGTGGTTCCCCCCTGCCAGCTGTTTGGTCCCGTCCGCGCTGGGTCAGCTGGGGGCAAGGAAAGAGAGAGATCCTTCTTGTGTCTCCCGGGTAACAACTGTAGTCTTCTCCTATTGGCCGGCGTCGACGGGGGCGTGTCCAATGCAAATCCTGTCGGTTTCTGCTGCTGAATTACATCACTCTGATGTCTGTGGTCATCTAAACATTCCCTAATAAACCTCATTCCAGCGTCAATAAATGAGTGTTAAACCCAGGGTGTTTAGTGTACAACATCACGTTATTTCACCTTCAATTCACGGTTTGAAAACGTAGCATTTCGCCACATGCTAATGATAACCAAAAATGACGAAATTCACCAGCGGAAAACCGGAAGTCACTTGTGAATCTTCAGTTTTCAGAATAAAACAGATTTAAATTAAATACAGTACATTCAAATTACGCCACATCAACATTGATTTTCATTTCTAACAGGGGTTAGTGTGTTAACTTTACAAACTCGAATGTGAGGATTTTGATCTAAATATAAAACAAATAGTTTTGCGTTTGTCACCTGTAGCAGCAAGGAAAGTGTTACTGCGCTACATTATATGCGCAAATGTTGGGTTAATCTTTATGTGTCTGACTGTATGGTATCCAATTGACAGGGTGTGTGTATCATGGATGTATAATAAGAAGGTGTGTATGTCCCATGCAGTCGCATGCAGTCTGCTATTTTCTAATTTCCTGATAAACGAAACTTTGTGATCTGCGCAGGCGCAGTGGGTGCAGCCCAGCAGAATATAAATAGAGCTTGAGTGAAGTGAAGTTAACAGTCCTACTTGAAACATCGTCTGAACATTTTTCACTGAGAAAAAGGACAGCGGCCGATTGCTTTTCTGTGGGCTATTCATCCGAGGTAAGAACAATGCACCCCCTTTTATTATTTTTTATATATTATATGGCAGCCTCTGCCACTGTTTGAATGTGTGAATGTTCATATGTGAAAAAGCACTTTAAGAGGTGGCTGGAAAAGCTATACATATGCAGTCCATTTCTTGAGAACAGTTGAACTCAATAGTCTTGTACAGTCACTGTTCTAATCAATATTTTAACATTGACTCAAATGGTCAATGGACATTTTCCTGAAGTTTTGTGCAAGTGTAACCGGTGTCGTTAAGCGGTCTCTGCGTTGTTCATGGATGATACCCGAGCCAGCATACAGTTTTAGACGATCTCCGTTTAATCACTGACAACAGATATAACATCAGTATTACATTTATTATCCCTCACACAGTGACTCCACCCAAGTGGAACATTTACAAAAAGGGAAGAGGAAACGTGAGTGACACAATAGAGGTTTCTCAATACTCTAATTTCCCCTCCTCGACTCCTATCCTCGACTCCTATCCTCGGCTCCTATCCTCGAGACTTAGTGCCGCCCAGAGCCATATATTCACACCAACAGTGTTTCAGGGCAGGTATAGAATCTCTCTATGCCGCCCACAGGAGATGCGAGCGGAGGACTGAGGAGGGGAACCGAGGAGAGAGGAGGGGAAGCAGCAGGCGGTTAGAGAAATGAGAACTCCTCTCCTCTGAGCGTTCATTTTAAAAAGACGTCCATTAATGATGACAGGAGGCACAGCCCTCTGTCTGATGGACAGATGTGTTCATGACGACTTATATATTTACTTTTAATTCATTGACAGTGCGGTATAATGAGACAATAACAGGCTACAGATGCGGACATATACACACACATATATTTATATAAATATATACAATTTCAGAATCAAACAAGTATGAGAGCACTCTCATAATAACGTAACACAATCAGAGACTGGATATATCCCCCCCCCCCCCCCCCCCCCCCCCTCTCTGGTCGCTGAAATGGGGAATTGAAATTACGGGCCAAAAGTTGTATTTACAAGTATTAAAAGTAAGCTTCGGCCACCAAACCAACTGAGACCCGCCTGTCCGCCACATCTACACACTGTACAACACACACACCTACACACTGTACCACACACACACCCACACTGTACCACACACACCTACAGCTCCTAAAGCATAGTCAGGCTACAGCCGTTGTGTATTTTATTATGTGAAGCACTAAATGGTCTTAGAAAAATATCGACTCTTTGTTTGTAGATATCTACTAAACTACAGCATACAAATACAGAGAGTAATGTAGGCCTGTTATACTGAGTGATATTTTACACACTGCTCTGCTTTCTGCACGGACCTCACAGCTGTTCTCACTGTAAACATCGCGTCGCGAATCGCGATGAAAGCAGTTACTAAAATAATATCCAGGGGATGCATGCAGAGCTGTCATTGGCTGAGATAAGTCCGGCCGTGCGTAACGCCTCCACCGTTCCCGGAAATGCAACCGCGGAGGAGCCGTGGAGGACCCATCAGTGTCTCCTCGGTTATAGCTCCTCCAGAGAGCCTCCTCGATGCTCGATGCTCGGTCCTCGATGTGCATTTAGAGAAATGAGATGTCCTTCAACATGGCGCGCTGAAATCCATTTCCGGGTCACTACCGGAGGATCGAGGAGTCGAGGGGTGTTTCTCAATTGCGAGTAAAGCTGCTGCAGAGCCACTATTTCAAGCATACTATGTCATCGAGTGCCGCCGAAGTACTGTTCCAATCTCCAGCATACTTGGAAATCACCATTCAAACATCTTTTGATTGAGTTGAACAAACCCCACACAGCTCAGTAAAGACTGTGAAATGTTGACTTTATTTGATCATTTCAGTAAAAACTAACGTTCATATTTCTCTTTTTGATTATAATACTGATGAACGTTCAAAACAAAGCACTTTGGCAACTTACCACATACGTTTTAAAATGCTTAATAAGCACCGTAACTTTCATGATATCATTTCTCGTTCATAATCGGTTGTTTCCGTGAACGGCCGACTGTTGTGTGACGGCAAATGCCGCGGCCGCAAGGCATTGTGGGGCAGCATTTTCTCCTCTCCTTTAGGTTAGGGAGGTCCAGTGGTTCCTAAGCTAAAGGAGGTTATAAAGGAAGTTTGAAACCTCCTTTCCTTTCATTTAGAGAATTCGAACGACACTTATCATGGCTGCCACTGAGGGACTTCCGGGTCATTTCACTCCGTTAGGAAGGTTCCTAAGCTAAATGGACTATTCGACCGCAACCCTCTACTATAAAAGGGGGGTGTACCCACAAAAATGATCTTCTGAGTACAGCGACTACATTTCAGAGGTTCCGCCCACTGATCTCCGACCTTGTCTGGTATTGAACATTCAATAAATGAAGAACACACAGAATTAGTGTGATTATACTAAATGATTTACAAACAAACACCACTGCATATTTACAACTGTTGCACAAGTTCACACTTGATAAGGACTTGCTCAATTACCAAAGATTAAATAGAACAAGTACATGTTAATGAAGTTCTACAAACGGTTAACTAACTCTGTGTAGGCTATACAATTATTACTTTTTATTATATATATATTGCCTTTTTTTTTTACATTCTTTAAACAATAATCATTTGTGGGCTGTCGTATAGCTCCCCTGGTAGAGCTGGTGGTCCATGTATCGGGACTCAATTCCCATGCGTAAGACCCAGGTTGGGGCCTTTTAAGCATGTCATCCCCTCTGTCTCCCCCCTTTCAACACTGTCAAGTCCAATAAAGGCTAATCAGGCCCAAAAATAATAATTTGCAAGTCTACCATGCATTTATACTGTTTATTGTATTTATTTCAATATTGCAGCCCTATGTTTGAACTTTCATTGTTTTATGTCTTAGATTCTAATTTTACTTTTACTTTTTAGGCTCCATTAATTACGGTGACAATTTAAAGTAACATTGAGAACATCACCCTGTTTTTATTTTTTACCATACTTGTCAAGGTGATAATGTGCTGAAAGTAACTATGTAACCTTTTTTCTTTTGCAGATGGAAGGTAATAAAAGAAAACACAAAATGTAAGAATGTGCTGAAGAAAGAAGAAAGAAATCATGGGTGAGTGAAAAGGATTGTGTATAAA